CAGGGAGCCGGCCGCGGCTGCCGCCAGCTGGGCCCCGACCAGGCTGCCGGGCTTGGTGGGGTCGAGCGCCACGCCGTGGGGCAGGAACTGGGGCGGGTAGCCGGCGTAGGCCCCGGCCAGGCTGCCAGGGTAGGTCATGCCCGCGGGAGGCAGCGGGAACACTGTCTGGCCGGGCTTGTAGGGAGACACCGGAGCCACCAGCCCAGAGCCCAGCACCGAGGACGAGGTGGGCGCACTGGGGCCCGAACCGGAGCTGGAGCCGGAGGAGCTACCACAATCCGAGCCTAGAGTTTTGCCCCCGGGCCCCCCATCTGGGTGCTGGTTCACGTCCACGTTAATTCCGCCACCGCAGCTAATCCGGCCGTGCGCCAGCCCCGTGGGTCCCCCTTCGGCCGAGGCGCCCCCGGCGCCCTTGCTGCCGCCGCCACCGCCCGCGTCTGGGTCTTTCTTGTCATCCTTGCCCTCGGGGCCGCCCCCGGCCGAGGGCAGCATGCCTCCTGGAGAACAGGCCGAGGCGCTAGAGCTGGGGCTGCCTGTCCTGGGCGTGAATGGCTGGCAGGTGGCGCTCGGTACCCGGAATCCCGACTTCTCGGCCGAAACACCCCCGCCGCCGCCCCCGCCGCCTCCACCTCCACCGCCGCCTCCCGGCTCCTTCTTATCCGAGCCAGGTTTGGAGTACGGCTTGAAACTCGACTTGTCCTCCACGCCGATGTCGCTCAGCTTCAGGGGGCCCGACTTGGCGTCCTTGTCGCCCCCAGCGCCGCCGCCAGCACCACCCGCGCCGCCCCCGTTGTTGGCGACCGAGGAGAGTTTGGAAGAGGGCGAGGGGTCGGGCTTCCCTATCTGCGAGCATGTCTGCGCCAGCAGCGCCAGTGGGCTCTTCTTGGCATCGAGCTGTGGAGTCAGAGGAGGGAGGGGGGGTCACACAGAGGGAAAAAAGGGGGGAGGGGAAAGAAATCCTTTAGCATCCTGGCTTCCGGGGTTCTACCTTCCCTCCGCGACACCCCAGAAGCGCATCTCCACCGTGGGGCGCAATCTTTAGGCGGCACCCCCTCTGTACCGCACCTCACCCCTTAAAGATTTTCGTCCTTGGCAAAGAGGAATAAGAACCCCACTCGGCACTTCTTCCGGTCTTTCCTAATGTTCTCTTATCTCTAACTGGATTTGAGAAGAGAAAGAAAGAAAAGAAAGAGAAGGAAGGAAGGAAAGAAAGAAGGAGGGGAAAGAAAAGAAGGAAAAGGAAGGTATAGGAAGGAAGAAAAGGAAGGAAAGAGAAAAAGAAAAAAAGAAGAAAGAAAAGAACCTATTTTGGTTTTCAGATCCTACAAGTAGAACTGTACCCCCTCCCCCGAAAACACCCCTTAATTCTTCAGAGTAGGGCTTGGGCGGTTGGCGCTTTGGAGGCTCTGTACACGCTGGGGCTTCAGAGGAGGCAGAGGAGCGCGACTTTGGGGCCGCGTTACAGGCTCCGGTCCGCCTGCGGGACCAAATGGGGGAGGGCTTGGGTTGGGTAGGGGGCTTTAATACTAAAATGAGAAACTACTTTGGGCCGCCTTGCTCCCTCGCATTTGCACTCTGTTCCACCTCCTTCGTTCCCCCTTTCCACCCTAGTTTTGAGATGCGGAAGCACTATTATTCTTTACCCCCATCCCGGAGCTGAATCACTCCGATCTCCTCCCCGCCCCCC